TGTGTCGCTTCGAATCCGTAAGCGCAGCAAGAGGAAGCAGCAAGCATGGGTGAGGCACATAATGGCACACATCCTCGGAAGCAAGCAGGCAGAACGAGCGCCGCCTGCCTTCTCTTTCTCGCCTCTCTCCTGCCTCCTTTCGCTCCTCTCGCCTCTCGCTTCCCTCCTTTCGCTCCTCCTTTTCCTTCCTCCTTTCGCTCGTATCGGCTCTCGCCTGCCTCCTTTCGCTCCTCCTTTTCCTTCCTCCTTTCGCTCGTATCGGCTCTCGCCTCCCTCCTTTCGCTCCTCTCGCCTGCCTCCTTTCGCTCCTCTCGCCTCTCGTCTGCCTCCTTTCGTTCCTCTCTCCTCTCTCCTGCCTCCTTTCGCTCCTCTCGCCTCTCGCCTGCATTCTTTCGCTCCTCTCTCCTCTCGCCTCCCTCCTTTCGCTCCTCTCGCCTCTCGCCTGCCTCCTTTCGCTCTCTCCTCTCCCTGCCTTTCGTCTCCTCTCGCCTGCCTCCTCCTCTCGCTGCCTCCTTTCGCGCCTGCCTCCTTTCGCTCCTCTTTCTCTCGCCTGCCTCCTTTGCTCCTCTTTCCTCTCGCCTGCCTCCTTTCGCTCCTCTCTCCTCTCGCCTGCCTCCTTTCGCTCCTCTCTCCTCTCGCCTGCCTCCTTTCGCTCCTCTCTCCTCTCGCCTGCCTTCGCTCTTCTTTCCTCTCGCCTCTCTTTCGCTCCTCTCTCCTCTCGCCTGCCTCCTTTCGCTCCTCTCTCCTCTCGTCCTCCTTTCGCCCTCTCCTCTTTTCCTCCTTTCGCCTCTATCGCCTCTCGCCTCCCTCCTTTCGCTCCTCTCTCCTCTCGCCTGCCTCCTTTCGCTCCTCCTTTTCCTTCCTCCTTTCGCTTCTCTCGCCTCTCGCCTGCCTCCTTTCGCTTCTCTCCTCTTTCGCTCTCGCCCTCCTTTCGCTCCTCTCGCCTCCTTTCGCTCTCTATCTCTCGCCTGCCTCCTTTCGCTCCTCTCTCCTCTCTGGCCTCCTCTCGCCTCTCCTCGCTCCTCTCTCTCTCGCCTCCCTCCTTTCGCTCCTCTCTCCTCTCGCCTGCCTCCTTTCGCTCTCTCTCCTCCTCGCCTCCTCCTTTCGCTCCTCTCTCCTCCTCTTTCGCTCCTCTCCTCCTCTCGCCTGCCTCCTTTCGCTCCTCTCTCTCTCGCCTGCCTCCTCGCTCCTCTCTCCTCTCGCCTCTCCTTTCGCTCCTCTCTCCTCTCGCCTCCCTCCTTTCGCTCCTCTCGCCTCTCGCCTGCTTTCGCTCGCCTCCTCCCTCCTCTCTCCTCTCTGCCTCCTTTCGCTCCTCTCCTCCTCTCGCTCTCTTTCGCTCCTCTCTCCTCTCGCCTGCGCTCCTCTCTCCTCTCGCCTCCTCCTTTCGTCGCTCCTCTCTCCTCTCCCTGCCTCCTTTCGCTCCTCTCTCCTCTCGCCTGCCTCCTTTCGCTCCTCTCTCCTCTCGCCTCCCTCCTTTCGCTCCTCTCTCCTCTCGCCTCCCTCCTTTCGCTCCTCTCGCCTCCCTCCTTTCTCTCCTCCTTTCCCCCTCCTCCTCGTCGCCGTCTAGAAAGCTTGGGGGAACGGCCGACACCACGACCTCGCCGACTCCGCCACCGCTGCGACGTTGCAACCCACTCCAGCGCCTTCTTCTTCGCCACTGCAGGCACTTTGCCGTCCTTAACGTTACTCCATCACAGGAACATTGCCATCACGCATCTCCTCTGAGGGAGGGTGAAAAGGAAGGAGGGGGGGGTGCATGGGAAGGGGAGAGGGGAGGGTGGGAAGGAGGTAGGGTGGGGGGAGGGGGAGGCGGGAGGGATGGGATTCGGCAGGAAACGTCTACCGTTTTCTGCGACCACTGTCCTTCCCCAGACACCCGAGCGGCCGTCCTCACTTCTCTCAGATTACATAAAGCAAGTTGTTCCGGCAGCTAAACCTCCCTCCATTAGGCTGAGTAGATTGCACCTGTAAGGGAAAATCTTTTTTTTTTTCTATTTCCTCAGAAGACCAATGGGAATAACGGAATGAGGAGAAAGAAAAAAAATACGAAAGGTTCTTGCCCTTTGCTATAGCCAAGAAACCGAATATTGTGAGAGATTATGCAAGCTATTACTCGTTATAAAAAATCAAAATACGTATATGTCTTCGAATAACGGGAAAAAAATAAAAATAAAAAATAATGGTAAAGCATTCAATTTAAGATAGATGAACCATTTTTTCCCCAGTCAAGAAGAGGACGAAGAAGTCTCGAAAGCTTTTCCTAATATGGACTGGCAATTATCGTTAACGAATCAATCTCTACCAGTCATGTCGAATTTCATTTCTCATCCAAAACATTAAGTCTAGGATCTTTCGGGAATTCCATGACATGGGGAATAATTACATAATTACTAGTCTCCGTCTGATAACCAGATAATCGGGACTTTCTACTTTATAGTGAAGAGGAAAGAAATGTTGACTGATTGTACCTGTCCAGCTGCTCAGCTTCGCGGAAAATTACCCTCCGGACTCCACTTTCCGGTCTGTGGCTTCGGACATTCACTGATGACAGCATCTCTAACCGATATGGATAATATGGATAATTGCGTAAGTTCGCATAACCACGTTCGTTTAGGGAGATTCCGCGATGACCACTTCGGTACAACGCGAACTGAAATTTGGGGCGAGACTCCGTCAGTCACGTCGGCAAACCAGGGCTTTCTCGCGCGACATCTGTACGGCAAAGCGAGATACTTACTTTCACGTCTAATTGTTCTATCGCTCCGACAGCTGTAGCTCTTGACTCCTCCCTCTCTCCTCCTCCTCCTCCTCCTCTGCTGATGCTCTCTCTGTTTCTCCTCTTTTTGCAGCATTTTTGTTTTCCTTTTATTCGCCTAACACGAGGGAGCGAGAGAACACTTTCCCGTCTCTCCCCGCCGGAAAAAAAAGGTGAGGAAGAAAAAGGCGGCGCCATTTCAGGACTGACGTGCAGCATCATTTACCGCGAGATTTCACTCTTTTTGTCTTCCTTTGGCTCGTTGCAGAGGAAGCGCGCGCTGCATGCTTCAACCGGCAGCCCCTCCGTACCTCATCTACCACTTCATGCCTCCGCTGTTCGCTATTTTATGTCCACAGGTCTCTATTTCCGCATCATGTTGAGGCTTTTCTTTGAGCCTCGCCACTTTCCCTCACGTCTCCGCGAAACTTTCATCCTCATACCTGGGAAGTCAGTTGATGTAAGAGAATTATTTATATAAAAAAAGTATCTTAGATTCTCCCAGCATTTATTTTTGAATTATGTTTTTGTTTGATTTACAGCAGAAAGGTAATATTAAACGTATACTTTTATATAATTACAGTCATTTATATGAGTGCTGGCTATGTAAAAGTTGATGGAAATTTATGTTGTGATTGAACACTTTGCTTTTATTTAAGACAGGGTAGGCCAGATACACCATACCATTACCTCCCTCATACCCACAAAAAAACTCATATTTTCACAAGATATTTTTCCTCCTGTCGCCTCCTTGTCGAGCTTCCCCGTTGGAACTTGGACCTCAATCCATTTCCCTCATCCTAGTTTTACAGCCGAGAGGCCTGAAATATCCCTTAAAATTCCTTTCTCTGGCAGTACCCTTCGCCCCTCCGATGAATCCAATCCACCAAATTAATTCTTATTGCTTCCGCCTGATGGAATAACGTGCATTTCGGCACCGTCAGTATTTTCATTATTATGTCAAAAGCTTTCACTCTAAGCCAGTCCAACCTCAAACACTCCTTCAGATAGATGTACGAGCTGTGGTTAACGTTATTCTCGTATGCTCATGTGTTCCCTCGTAGCGACGCATGCGGCTTCCTCCCTTTCTCCGCTTAAGTCGTGAAAATGCTATTCGCAGTGGAGGAAGAAGGAAAAAAAAACGCCTTTACCGGCAAGGAAAATCCGGGCGTAATCCCTTCCTGGAACCGTATCAGGTTACTTGTATTAAAAGCGAACCGCAGCAGCCAAGCAGCGACTCGGTGGTGTATAATCTTAGGCTTTTAGCACAGCTCTTTTCGCTGTATGACCGCTTCCATGAGGCGAAGTACCGAAATAACAGTGCTTGCCGGGGAAGCAAACTTTCTCGGGGGTCAAAAGTCCACGTAATATTTTCCCGGTACACGTGACGCCACAGCCTAACACACTGACGTCATAACATGGAGGGAGGAAACACTAGCTCGAGCCGGAAGTGACGTCATGCAGTGCAACGGCAGAGGAGGAAGGGAGTTACCGGAGCTTCACGGATGCGGTGGAAGTGGCGAGAGAGCTCACCTGGAGAGGAAGGGCTTCGAGAGGTGCGACTTGTCTTTTCTTTTGCGACGAAAGAAAACGGGAAAGACAAACGAAGGACGCACTCATGCATAGATATGAATAATCACACAAAATTACGGAACCACACATGTTTCTGTAGACTGCAAATTATTATAATCTGCTAAAATCAACTATTTGATTTCACACGAACTGATTGCTTTCTCGCATACCTTTCGTAATAAACTGACAAATCTAACGTCACTTAAATACAATCGCTGTATACATATTTTTTAACGGTAATTAATCGATTATATATAGCGGGGAAATTTGAGGAAAATTATGACAAATTCTAACCCAATTACTGACTGACAGGTAATCGCTTATGACACACAAACCCCAAAGTAGGTTTCAAAGGAATCAATCAATCGGGTGTTTTAGCCGGCGTCGCTTCCGTCATTCGGCTCCAAGACAGCCGTGTTTCTGAAGCACGAGTTCACAGCGGCGGCAAAACGGGACTAAATAAGTCAATGGAGTGAGATTGTTGGGTCGTTCTGTGTTTTCTTGTACAAATGGGTCGTAGTGAGGGAGATTTTTACTTGAACGAGGGAATGGGCACGACGGCTTAAATACGTCAATGGAGTGAAAATGTACAAATGGGTCGTAGTGAGGATTTTTACTCTAAAATACGACTAAGATAATAATAATAATAATAATAATAATAACCAAAATCGGGACCAAATAATCCAATACATTGAGGTTGTGTCGTTCCGGACTGGGTACTTTGGTACTTTCATGTACAAATGGTCGCAGTGATGGAGGTTTTTCCTTGAACGCGGGAATGGGTAAAGGGAATAAAAGGGAATAAAGACGAGTAAAATAAAAAGAAAAAAGAAAGACAAAATATCACCAAAGAATTCAATTTAAAAATTAGGACAAAACAGCCACCGGGGAGGATATAATTGGTTATTACAAATTTAGATGCTTCTGAGACACAATAAGCAAAGAAACGATTTACTCTCTGTACCGACAACTTTAGGAAATAAACTATTATTTAAAATGTGTGAACATGTAAGAGAAGAGGGATGGAAAAGAGAACACGAATAAAGAGAATTAACGAAAGAATAAAATTAAACTGGAAGCACTCAGAGACCGCATACCTCCGCCAGGGCATTAAGGTCTCTGATGCATTAAAAATATTCACACTTGAACAATTACATTAAAATCACTTCTTTCTCAAGTACACTGGTGATGCCCGTAATCATAAAATCCTTGGCGGAGCTAATAAAGTTAATGATAATAATAGTTAGCCCCGTATATAGTACCAGATATTAAAATAATTCCTGGATCGAATCACCACCAAAATTGAACTGCATCTAAGTTAGACCAAAACACACTTCTGCTAAGAATTTCATAAACATCCGTTCATAAGTTTTTGAGTTGCATTTGCAATAGAGGTAATTCATGCAATCCTTTTAAAAAATCCTGAATCCAGATTTAGTAACATCTAAGCGAGGGTAAGACACACCTCTGGTAAAGATTTCTTAAAAATCTATTCATAACATTTTGCCTTATACTATTAACCAATGGAAATTTCACTGCTGTAATGACAGTTCGAGATATGAACTTACACATTAGGAAAACAGCGATACATACACCCACACTATATATATATATATATATATATATATAATATATATATTATATATATATATATATATATATATAATATATATGAATACATATATATACGCATATTTATATATATACCTTTGTACATACATACATCATAATTACATATATACATGCAGACACACATACATTATATATATATATATATATATATATATATATATATATATATATATATATATATATACACACACACACACACACACACACACACACACATATATATGTGTAAGATGTAAATACTAACAATAACGCCAAGAACAGACACAGTTGAATTCAGAAAAGGCATTAAACACATAAATCAAGGGATGTGAGGTGCCTCCGACAGCACAGACTCAGCGGCGCGACTCCAGGCCAAGTGTTTCTTTAGGCAAACCTCTCGGCAGTCACTGTCTTTGTCTTACTCAGTAACAGCTTGATGTCTTTTTTGTGTTTTTATGTTAAGTATTTTTTTCCATTTTGAATAGAAATGACCTGGCAATTATTCAAAGATGGTTTAAAGAACTTACATTGGCAGTTAAGTATTTTTCCATTTTGAATAGAAATGACCTGGCAATTATTCAAAGATTGTTTAAAGAACTTACCTTAACAGTTCTGACACATTTTTAATCCAGTTCAAATCTGACACGAAACAGAATAGGTGTCGTAAATCTTGGCTGCCTCTAACGCCCGAGGCTGATTCCTAAATGCACTTTCAGTCAAAAAGAAACTTGGTTTTGTTTAAGGTGCGGTGTCGGATCTTCAACACAGTATAATACAGTAAGAAGTCGGACGATCTCAAAAAAACTGTAACTGTACTGCAACTAACGGTCCGGAACAGAAATCAATGATATTTTGTATCATCTTCAACTAGTCTCATCGCCTCGTTTTAATCATGTGCGACATTACGACTTATTGCAAAGAATTAGAAGACTTGGGGATCCACACGCTTCTGGTTTAGATGACTAATGGTCTGTGTTTAATTCCATTTGGCGTTCATCCATCCTTGAAAGGTGCTGGGAATCAGCTTATCTAATACGAAGAAGACAACGGTAATATATACAGTTTTCCTCTGCAAGACCGTGTAAGAAATGACAGCTTAATCAAAATCAGAACTGACAAAAGTATAGTCGAAAGCTTACACTGTCAGCATTATCATTTTTATTTTCATTTTTTTTATTTATCATTTATTATTCTTTTTTTTATCTTTTTTTTCTGTATATCAGCATTTTATCTACGTTTGATGGATCAGAGCACAAGAACGGCGTTACATTTCCCCCGCCCATTAGCGCAGCGCCAGGACCTCCCACGCAAAGCCGGTCCTCGGGGCGACAAAAGCTACTCCAGAAAGTCGTAAACTTTTTCACCAGCAGGAGACCCAGGGAGATGGATGCGCGCCCTGCAACCGAGGCGTTTAAATCTCTTTGTGATATTGCATTGTGCAAGATCATGATATCGTGTTGGGCGAGTTTATCACCGGAAGATCACTGAACTCACATGAACGTAGAACACGTTTCATCCTAAAAAAATGATAAGTGACTGCTTTTGCTTCCACAAAAATAAAGGCGAGTATAGAACATTCTTAAAAGCAGTACATGTTCAGCAAACGGTACAAACCT